GAAGTAATGATTTTAAAATGGGAGGACAAAAATAAGTAGGAGGCAATTGGGCTTGTCAAATGTTTTGCTAATGACTTCTCTGAAAATTAGTTTCTCTTCTGATAGTGTTTGCAGCCTTTCAGATCTTTCTTTCAGAAGTATTTTCTGATTTGCCACTCATAACATTATATGTTGGCTAGGTGACTAAATGCTTCCAATCATGATTCAATTTGTAATCATATTTGATTGCTTATTTTAACATTCAGTGAGTGTACTTTGTTGTGAAAGGCAACCCAAAAGTTTTTGGTGACATCTCTTATTTTAGAGTGAGATCGAAGAGCTGCATGCAAATGATTTTTTTATTCTTCCTGTTATTATAAATAAAGAGAAGAAAAAGGAATTGTTAGATTTTGATCTTACTTTCTTCTTTAGACAAGTTTCCAAATTTGTGTTGTCAATTGTAACTTCAGTGAAATATTAAAGACTTCTAAAGAATCTATTCTATATAATCCAAAAATCTGATAGAGCAGTAGTTAGTCAAACGTATTCCTACCACTATGCATAGGCTCTGTATGTTGGAATATGGAGACTTTTCCGTTAGTAGTGCCTTACAAATATCTCTACATAGATTACAGGGGGCATCAGTGAACCCTTAGTGTTGTCTCCTGCTTCAAAATAACCTACTGTCAATTAATTCAGACTAGGAATGAATTAAATTTTATGTGGTGGTTAATATTTAATATTTCTCACATTAATTTATTAATATTTGACAGAATCAATCCCAACCCACAAGTGGGTCTCTTTGCCTTCAGGGGTGGTGTGATGAATAAGATTAAAAAAAAAAAATTGTATTTAGTATTCCATTTAATTAACCTCATGCATAAAAATGCTTAGCAGTGTTTTCCAAAACATTTAAAAAATTGGGAACAAGATAGAAACACCTTTCTGAAAATACAATCTCATTTTAACATAATCCTTCTGTATGACTTTGAACATGCAGTACATTTTCCTTTGTATATGAATTTCATACTCCTAAAATGACAAAAATGGTACTTTTCATCTTATAGAAGGTCCCATTACTTTTTTCCTTGGATACTAGAGTCATGGATACTATAGAAATTACTACAGGAAAACAACAACCTGTTAGACTTTATCTCTTTCAAGTCCAGATGAAGTTATTTTAAGTAGAAAATTAAAGAATAAATTCACTTACATCAGGCAGCTCAATTTATTTCAATTTTGATCTGTTTGGAGTGACTTGTGTAGGAAGAAATGGGAGAAGTTCAACTTGTTAATGTGGAGCCTGCATGAAGTTGCTAAAAAGGAAAGCTATGTAGGAAGAGCCTATAATTTTAATTCCTATCTTTAGACTTGGATTAATGCCCGGAATAGTGATAAATACAGTGTCACTGGGAAAGACTAAGAATCATCTCTGTTGGTAATAAGAGCTAACTGAAGGAAAGGATAGCTGCATACAATTGAACTATTTCCTAAAAAAAAAAAAAACAATCTTTTCTATTTTCAGTACAGATAAGTGGAAAGAGACTTCTTTAACACTCAAGTAGCAATTTTTGGGGGGGTGAATGTTGATAATTGTGTATGTGCACACATAAATATATATAATTCACATGTGCACATATATCCATGACATATTTCCAACCTAACTGTGGTCCTTAGATGAATTCGGGTGAAGGTATTAGTATCTCCCTTGAAATCTGAAACGTGCTTTCTGTAGGGAAGTTCTTAACAGAGGCGATTTAAGAGCTTGGAATGAAAGATATGTGCTTTACGTGAGAATGTCTTTTTGATAAAAGTAGAGGCAGCTTGCATCACTTAATTTGTCCCCTCTATCATTTAAAATATATTTTGAAAGTATGTGCAGGTGCTCTGGTTTAATCATTAAGAAACTTTCTGCATGCTTTAGTCCAATACTGCTGCAATAATCATCCCTTTAGAAGCCTGCGTTTTTACCCTCTCATCCACAAGAAACACTGCCTTAACTGCTACCCCATTTCTGCCTGCCTTCCTCTGAAGGAACTGCGAGCTTGTACTGATGGGTATGCATTTGATAAATAAACATTTTCCATATCAAGGTAAAAGGAAATGTTGTATCATATTAAAGGAACAGGTTACCTTGTACTAGATCAGAATAGCTCCTTGTGCAAGTTAATAATATGCTTGGAAAAGTGGGTGATTTTTTTTTTTCTGGTTGTCTTCATATCTGGGGAGAACAGTAGTGATCCCAGTAGTTCTTACCTCCTTTATCCCAAATTTGAATAATTTCTCCTTGCTTTTGAGTTGAACTATTTGTAATGGCAAGATGTGGTGGGTCTGACTATCTTCTAAAAGGCTCTAGGAAAGTGAGGCTCTGGTGGAAGAATGGTGAAAGAAGGGCCAGATGTGGAGGAAACTGTCTTATTTTGTCATGAGTGACTGTTTTGTGAATTCCATTATATATATGTAAAAGGAAGCAGGTCATACCAGCTATGTCTATGCATGGAACAAGGTGTTGCTGTAGTAGTGCATGAAGAAAATCTTCTCATGTCTGCTGAGGTTTTAGTTGTCTTAAGTGTTTTTTTGTTGTTGTTTGATGTGGTGGTTGAGAGTTGTGGATTTTTTGCTTTCTGTATAGTACTGTAGAAGTATGGTTAATTTTAAATGAATATAGAATTGTAAGCAGTTCACTGTTAATATTGTCTAGAAACAACAAACAAAGAAAACCCCAAAACAGCAAGAAAACTTCCAGAAAGAAGGCATGAGATATGAATGGTAGACATACTCATACTGTGTAGAGAATTTGCTTATAGAGTTTTTGCTCAGTATTGTCTAGCCCAATGACTTTCCTCATTTCTGAAAGTGGTTCTCTCTATTAGGAAAGGGTAAACAAACAGAATTGCCAAGGTTGGAAAAGACCTTCAAGATCATCCAGGCCAACCATCCACCTATCACCAATAGTACTCACTAAACCATGTCCCTCAACACAAAATCCAACTGCTCCTTGAACAACTCCAGGGTTGGTAACTCCACCACCTCCCTGGGCAGCCCATTCCAGTGCTTGACCACTCTTTCAGAAAAGTAGTATTTGTATTTATAAACAATAGTGTATGAAGGGTGTATCCAGGTTGGGTCTACGCTGAAAGATCAGTTGGCTTTGCCTGAATTCAGTTTTTGTTCAGTATGACAAAAGGTGATCTTGTAATGCACCTTCCATTATCATGTGGAGGTATGTGAATGCAAGCATTTAACTAATACTAGATACACTATTTTTTTCAAATACTTGCATATCCTGCACCTGACTTTTTAATAGTAATATAAAATTTGATAGCAAATGTAACTGATTTATTAGTCACTATAAATATTTTTTCTTACTCCCTCTATAACATATAAAGAGGCAGTATTAAAGGCAACATCAGATTTACATAAGTGTATACTTCAGGAGATGTCTGTGTATTAAACTAGTGTTAATAGGTATCTGGCTTAGTAGTAACTGGTAGGGATCTACTTCCAGGCTGAAAGGTTGTGGTGACTCGAACTAATATTTCTGGGGGAGCAAAGACATGTTTTGAATATTAAATAGCATGAAGCCTGTTGTTGATACATTATTTAACAATAGCAAGAGTGTTTGCAAGCAGGAGTAGGAATGTGATGATACAGCTGAGGAAAATACAATTCTAGTTATTATGTGGGATTGCTAAGGATATAAAACTATCACTGATACTTCATTTTAGGAGTTTAGTCACAGTGCATTCTCTAATTATTAATGATACAAAGTGGGGGGAAAAAACGCTGTTAGGGAACAGAAGGTAGAATCATTTTACTATATGCAGCGATTACCGTGCACAAGCTGTACAGCCTTGAAGTAGGGTGGGTGGAGGTGCAGCTGAGTGGGAGGCAGTAAAAGGGATTGGGATAACATGATTTGTGTGAGAAGGACAATCCTGTAAATAAATTTTAACCTTAGAAATTTAACAGTGGTGGGCTTTGAATTTCCAGATGCTTCCTGCTTACTGATAATAAAATGAGAAATATTTGTATGATCCAGCTGATGGCCAGCATGTTTCTAGTACAGTTTACCTGACTTGGTTCAGAAGTGTGCTGATGTGGTCAGAGTCACTGCAGACAGGATAGACTTAGATCTTCTTAAAACCAAGAAACGCACCTTGCTATGAAGGAGCTGCATGTCTTGATTCCTGTTGCAGCCAAGGGGTGGAAATAAATCAGTTATAGTAGATTACTTCTGTTTTAAAAAATCAAAATTATTTTTTATAATTGCCCAATAATTATTATTACTGAACCATTAAATGATATTAAAAGCCAGACTGACTTATTTGTCTCTTGTCAGTTTTATATACTTAGTGTTTACTCATCGTGACTTACAGCAGCTGTTCAGAAGAAAACAGTTGCAATTCTGTTAAATCCAGCATTCTTGTTGCATCCTCCTAGAGCAGCAGATGAAGGCCAAGGGGTTCTTTCCCATGAGTGTAGCTACTGTCACTCCTTTCCCATTGTGCT